CTTATTTGGGTAATAAATTACCTAATTTTTTATTTTTTTAAATCTTATTATCATGAGCAGTTTCATTGGTGTCAGATACCAATTACTCCGCAGTTATAAAATAAGATGTAAAAAATTAAAACTATTCATAAAAATATTTTGAAGCATACAGAAACAGATAACTCATGTCTTAAATAAATATCAAGTTAAGATAAGTGTTCCTGAAATTTAGTGTTTTACCTGTAGAGTTCCTCACTTTGTAATTCTCTAAGTTAATGTTGGAAGTGAAGAATCTAAGAACTGATAAGCGAATAATCGCTTAAGTTCGGTGACAAGAAACAACAAGATAGAAGGGTAACTAACCCTTTATTATTCCAATAAGATTTAACAAAACTCCGCCTGGGAATGTACAAACAAAGCCCGCACTTGGGCTTGAACTTAAAAGACTAAGAATTAAGCTAAGATTAACTAAAGAAGTATAGCCGAAGCTATCAAGGTTCAATTTGAGTTGGCGCCTTAACTTATTTTACTACGAAGCTTAGCAAGGGCCTGAGTACGACCGAGCGTAATAACAGCTTTGAGGGAGAGAGAGTGGCCAAAATGGCAGACGCGCGTAAATCAGAAACTCTGATTCTCTCTGCCTCTGTACGTAACTTCGTGGTTTAAATGCTCCTCCTCTATAAATATTCAGCAAGATTCCAAAACTACGTTCTGGCCGGAAGTAGTAAGTTGGAGTTAAGAATTTGACAGGAAAAGAACTTTAACTTAAAATTTAACTGTTAATAAATTTAACATAATCCTTACATACCTATGAGCACAATGGTGTAGCATTGATAATTTAACAACAAAATAAACAACTAAAATATTACTTCTGATTTAGAGCTGATTTAGAGTTTGTATCTAGTATCATCTTCTGTTCCATTAAACAGTTTTCTAAACTTAGGTAACACGTTGTTAATATTTGTGTTTAATAATACATATTCGTGAAAAAGAACATAATTTTGATAATTGAGGTTGGAAATTCAGAGTTAATATTCTTCGTTATTTACGCTGTTCAACCAGTTCAGACATAAATTAGTCAACCTGTTCTATACATAGTATATCAGATGATGTATAAATATTCGTCTAACAGCAGAATCATTGAGAAGAGAATTTAAAAGTGACAATGGAACAGCGTTATTCAGTAATGATGGAAAATTTAACAACACTCTTTTAAAGCAAGCCTTTTATCAGAACAAAAGTGTTTGAAGCTTCTCTGTCAACTGGCGGTAAAACCCTTCTATAGATGCTTTCAAAACACCAATTACTGGCACCCTTTTAGTAGTTTCAGCTCTCGTATTAGCTTCATTAACAAGTCCATTCAACAAACTCGTTCAGTGTTTGTAGAAAATCGAATGCATACATAACCGGAGGTGAAAGTTACGCCGAGGGCCATTAAAAGGCCATTCGCCAGCCACCAAGAATCTACGCTTTTGCATGCACCTGCGTCCGGAACTTTAACACTTATTTTCTATTACTCCCACTCCCTCCAGGAGTAATAGTTGCGAAAAGGGCAACGCCCGTTGTCGCTAATTGCTGACAAGAGACGCCCCGTTGCTTGTGTCACGCAATGCGATTACTTGAGTTTGCCCTGCTGTGTTGATAGAGGGGACTATAATAAATCTTCTTCGCGATAAACTCGGTTAACTCGAGTTTACATAAGATCTCCATTTTCGTATGAATATTTTATAAGTTTTGATTGGCAAAGAAAAATGGAACTCTTTTATTTTCTACTACGTAGTCATTCATCACCGGAGGATCTCACTTCTGTTTTTCTAGAAAGGCAAAATGAATTTCTAAGAAACCTTATAATGGACACTTTAGTGAGGAATTTTAATTAAATAAATGAATTATCATACAGCACAAAACTGAAATAACGATTTATGATTTATAAAGTATTTACAAGAACGATATACAAATTCTTTAGTTTTAGTGAAGAATTTGATATATAAATAAAATCAGTGATTGTAACAGAAAGAACTCGTCAAAGAGCAGAAGTTAAAAATATTATATCAACATACGAACATTTATACAAATCAGCGTATTGTGCGAAAATTTTTCAGAACTACAGTTAGTTAAAACCTTTTTATTCAGCTGCAGTAATAAAAAATCTTTTGACGTTTTTCAACCTTCAGATGTGTATATCATTAAACATTAATTCTTAGCAGTTGTAGTACATCGAACTGAACTGTTTCCTTATGTGTGTGTATCATATTCAATATATTCTGCTATGTTTTCATTATAATCAGTTGGATAACGATATCCCACTAACATTATAATAATAAACTGTGATAAGTACCCAGGTATATATATGATTTTTTAAATTTTATTAATACTAACATAAATTATTTCCACTTGAAATTAAATTACATTTAGTAATATAATTTGAATATATGAAGATGTATATATTTAACAATCGCAATTGATTTTGGAAATTTAGTGGTCCAGCAACTGGGTTATGGATGTTTCATAATTAATAAAAATATTTCATGTTATTTACTTAGGAAAATACATTACATACAATTACTTTTACCTATTTATGGATGAAATATACATGAGAGTTAAGAGTCTAAAACTGAAATAAATTCGTTAGCTTTTGATAAAACGAATCAGCTTAAATAAAAATTACACTAAGTAATTGAATACAATTACGCATAATACATAAATTATAATTCGTTACCTTATATATCTTCATAACTTCATTTATAGTAAAATTCTTAACTTTACTTTTGTTATAGGAATCAGTTTGTATTAACATAACGTAATGAATGGACCTTAAATACTGAACCTAGGGTAACGGACTACATTTGTTTTCGGACTCTTGTCCATTTGAAATTATGTGCATAGTTTGAGTAATAAATTTCGACACATAGACTCCAAATATTCTTGTAATGCATATATTTTGTCTCTATATTAAGCCTTGCTTATTACAAAATAAATATGATCAAAACATGCCTTGTAATAAAATGATTCATTCAAAAAGGGTTAATCAGCAATTCATATCATAATTCGGTCACTCGAAAGTTTCGTTGAGGTTTTATGGCAGGTGATGTATTTTGGCGTTATCTTTTACTTTAAATGAAACTGTATCAGCAGACTTATAGCTTGCGATTATAAATTATTACTTATTAAGCAAAATAAAGTAATATTTCCCTTATTAAATTAACATGGCAAACGCTACAAATTAATAACTAGTTTTGTTATAAATTTAAATCTTCACAATTTTAAAGATGCTCAAAATGAAAATACATCCCGAGTTGAATATTTGATATAAAATATTCAACTGGATTTGATTAATTAAAACGATTGGAAATGCACATGCACGGAACTCTTAAAAGTATACTGAAATTTTTATTGCATTCCAAGCTAAGTCGAATCTGAGTTTTATCCTAAGCAATATCAAACAAAACTCAAAATTTTGAACTGCAAAACTTCCAACCCAAACTGCAAACCACAGCAGTAAAACTCGCACTGTTGTACTGTAAAACACTGCAAATGAATTGTATACATGCACTGTAAAGCATTGCAAAAAATTAGAAGAGTAGTTTGCAGTGGACGTTAATCGCAAAATTGTTGGAAGTATCGTTAGAGCACATGGCTACAATAGGCGATCAGCAAGAAACTCTTTAGCACCGAGGGAAAAAAAAACCTTGTCATCCGAAAAAATAAATGGTGATCAAATATTTATTATATTGAAACAATATTATATTTGTAGACGAGTGAAAATTTACAGCCCTAAATATTCGCTGATGAAGATGTATATCTGATGAACTGTTCATCAGATATAATATGTACGGTGAACAAATTGCTGTGTAACGAAAGCCGAATTCAATTCGAATTGAAGAACTGAATTCGAAAGCGTCCTTAAAAACGAAGTCGGAGGAATAATGGTTTGGGATTGCTTCTTCTTTGTTTTTAAGACTTATATAGAAAATAATGAGAATCAATATATTCTTAATGAAAGCCGGAAAGAGCATTTGGAACTCAAAATACATTTAAGTTCTACTATAGTACCGGTGCTAAAACATACAACCCTAAATATTCGCTTGCGGTTAACATACAGCTTCCTGAAGTTACGCTAATTCTTCTATATTTTTCGGATTTAAATCGGACATGTATGGAGTGATTTGGAGAAAGAAACAATAAACTTGACATTTCTTCAAAGGCTTTACTAAAAGCAGTGATTACAGAGAAATAGAACAAAATGGAACTTTATTACACGGAAAAATTGGTTAAATTCATCCCAAAGCGAATGAAAAGTATAATTTTTGCTAAAGGATACCCGACGGACTATTGGACGTCCTGGTATTTTCAAGATATTATTAAATATAAAATATTTGTCACGAATTCTTATGTGAGTTCAGCTTCAGAACTTTATATATATATATATATATATAATTTTAGTTTAGTATAAATTTTATAAAAATAATTTAATTTAATAATTATTTTTAGTTTGCATTATATAGATATGTAAACTCGGCGTCTAGTGGATTTTTACGCTGACAAACATTTAGGTTACTAAATATTTATTTAGTTATTAGTGCAGATACAGTGATGAGTATTTACAAATGGAAAAATAGTTATAATTGAGAAGGTAACAGCTTCGTCATCTATTAATATGTCTTAGTCGAAAACATGACTGTTCTCTTTCGTTTACATCGTCGATCATTCGTCTCACTGCCATACCGTTACTTGTATTGAGTTGTCGCACTCCTGCTACTGACTCCTGCTGTTTGTGGTATATATATTATCACCAGGTGTTTGTGATATATATATTATCACAAACATTTTAAAAACTTTTTTTTCAAGGCAAGTAGGTTTTAAGAATGATGATCATTATTCGTGAAACAAAATAAAGTCATTTCGCTAATATTTAATAAATGATATTTGTCCGAAAACAAATATTAGCCTCAGTATGTATCTGACATGTATTTTTTGTTCCTTGGCAAATTTATGAAGGAGCTGATTGTTTGAGTGCTTACCTCCACGGACATGAACTTCTGTTGATCCGATAGATCCCAAACTATTTGAAGCCACACATCTGTATACAGCACCGTGAACATCTTGTCGATATTCTTCTGCTCTGAAAGGTTGGAAGACAAGCGATCCATCTTGACGAGTGTGACGCAATCCTGGAACGTTTGGAAGACGTGTCCAGTCACTTTTAGTCCAATACACATTAGGCTGTGGCACGCCGGTGGCGAGGCATGGGACAACTGCCCCAGAAGAGTTGTGGAAGACAGCTTTGTTCGGAGGTTCCTTAATGAAACTCGGACCTCTAAAAGCACGGGCGTTACCTAGAAATGAAACAAAGAAAATTAATCTAATTTTTCTTTCCAATTGCAAGGTGCTTGCTATGGACAAGATAGCAAAATACACAAATACGATATATAAACGAAAGAATATAGAAGTAAAAGTCTTTGACCCATGCGCACTCTCGCAAACCAGTATCGCTCAGTCTCAGATTTTCCACGAACTGCAGTATCAGCATAATATGGTCTCTGTCCATAATTCATCGCTGCGTAGGAGGCAAATTTTGCTCTGCATGATACGAATGCAAAAGAATTGCATCTCCAAGCATGCATGTCTAGTAGTTAGTCGCAACATCGCTACAATGGTGGGAAGAGGCCAATCAGATATTGTCCTAAATATTCTTCAACCAATACTTTCTAGAATTTCTACTCGCTAAGTTTTGATGACCATTTGAAGCTGAAGTGTGTTTAATAATACGTTCAGTAGTTGAAAATGAATCTCATTTTTAATCATTTATGGAACCATGGATCTCTTTTAAGATAATAGATCGGCTTGTTCATTACCATCCACACGGAAGTCGAGCGGAATCCACTGAAGGGTAACTGATTTTTTTTCCTCTTAAGCAGTTGGAAAAAAAATTCACATTTTAATACATCTAAAGATGTAATAATAAAAAATAGTCTTAAAAATAGTCTGAATATCTGGCTTCGAGTCAGAAACATCACATAGCTTGCATTTAAATAAATTACCTACAGTTGAAAAGGAATTCGTTATTTCATGTTGGATTAAAAACTGTTGACCAATCACTATTAAAATTACTTAACATTGCTTTTGTTACATAAGAAATACGTTGTTTTATCTAATAAAAATACCGTGTATTCAAGCAAAAATTTCTGCAAAATGATAAGATCCTTTCTTGGGAGCGGTGTGTGGGGTGACAAGTCTTTTATGTGAAATAGCGTAACTCTCAGCATTTTAAAACTCAAATCCTGTTTTCGCCATAAATTTCAGTTTGAATATCTTATGCATCTGATGCATGATGGGTCTTAGTAAAACCTGTAGCAATGCTATAAACTGGAACATTATGAGATTTCTAATTTGAAGAATCCTGGAATTGAATTGCATATTTCAACAGTATCTTTCTTAAAATTCCTTGGGATTACCATAGAAAAGTTCCTTAAAAACAAATTTGAAAAACTTAGTATTTATTGGAACATTGACTTGAATCAATTATTTCTTTGCCGAGATTCGAAACATAGATTTCGCAATGTGCTAAGAGTGTACACCCCATTTACACCCCGCGAGCATGCATTGAAGAATATAATAATTTCCTATATTTCTTTTCATTTTAGGACGACTGAGAAGTGGCATCAGACACACTCAGAAATCCCCTGTCGTTGCCTCTCTACTCTGGTTCTCCATCTAAAATGTGATGACATTTAGATGGAAAGCCACAGTAGAGAGTATTGTGAATATTTAGGACAGGAAACCTAATTTTAAATTAAGAAGCCTCACTGGAAATTCTAACCATTGACGTTCTGTTCGCTAAATGGACTGTTGGTTACTAAGCATAGGTAGTGTAATGTAATAATTTCTTATAAGGGAAAAAATATATTTTTGAATTCTCGAAATTTTTAACGCATTCTTCATAAATCAAGAAACGTTTAAGAATTAATTATAAAGGGGAGCATTAGCTTCACGAATCTGAATTATACATATATATACATACATATATCTAGAATTTTGCAACATAATTATCAAGCACAGTTTCTATAAGTATTAAAACAAACAGCCTTGTTGCATTTTAATTTATTATTAATTTTAATGTTTGAAATATCTTTGCAATTTGTACTGGGGAGAAGTTATAAAATTCCTAAAAAATCAAAATCATATAACTGAAATTGAACTGGAAATGATCTATACAGAAAGTTAATTAATTCTATTGTTAATTAAGAAGAAAATTTTGCTTTTCTTATCAAATTTCACTGGTATACTTAAATAACTCTTTTACCAGGTTTCCATTAATAACAATTTTTGCTCTTCCATATACAATGTGTTATATGCAAACGAGACATTCTTCCATATACATATGCAAACGAGAGACATACGTAGCATCATTTTAAAAATGATGATGAGTTACAATAACATAATTAATTGTAAATTAAAAAGGTAAATAAAGATTTTTGACACATTTTTAGTAGCTACTCTTATTTAAAATAAGTGAACTAAGTGAAACATATTTGATCCTGCTAAGTATTCAGGAATGACACAAGAATAAGATTAAGATTTCTCACCCTTTTTCAAGTACAAAAGCTATTAATTACTGGGTTAATAATTAAAATGTAGAAACCATACGTTTTTATAAAATAGTAGTTTTGAAGAAGTATGTATTTATGCATAAGAATACCAGTATCATTTATCTTAATTGCTGCTCAACAAACAATGCTCATAAAACGTCAAGAAGTGGTTAAGGTATATTAAAGTATTAGAAAAAATACACTAAAGCTAAGCTATTTAACATTAAAAGATTTACAGCACCGCGCATTAAAATTTAACTACGGGGTCAGAATACTGAAACTACGGGGTCAGAATAACTGATGAATTGCACTTAACTTTTAAGATTGCGTCAGGAACGTAAGTTGAATATTATAAGTGATAATATCATTATAAAAATACACTGCTGCACATACAAAAGGAAAACCTGAGGAGGACAAGAAATATCAAAGCCAAACTGATTTAGGATATAACACATAATATCAATGTTTATTGATTTGAAATATAGCATTCTTTGTGGTAAAGAGACGAAAAAAACTGAAATGTGTTTTATCTCCACATTTGTCATTAACCACCGCGGCACTGATCAAAAGAAACGAACAAAAGAAACGATCAAAAGAAAAACGAAAACAATAGTCCTTAAGGCAAAAAGCCCCTTTGGACTAAAAACAAAATGGACACTTCTACATCTCCCGTTGTACTGTGGTGATTAACGAAACTCAAATTGTGTTTTTCATGTCTCGAAAGCGCGACTTAGAATATATATTAGACTTATATATATCATTGTTCTAATATAGGTATTTTAACACAAAATCGGACTTTTTCTGAAATGACATGCCACTTTCTTCCATATTTCGATTCTACAACTCAAATTATTACTAAATACTAAATTTTGTAAAAATTGGTGTTAATTTACGGAGAAATTCAAACATTTAACTTTTCGAACTAAATAATTTATACCAACTTATATTCCTTTCCTTTTCTGCATTGCAGACGAGCGGGAAAAAATCCTCGTTCACACTTTAAAATAATTTTAACAAGGTGCGTAAAAAACATTTGGCGTTATTATCGCTTATAAGAAATACGCCAAATTTCAAAACGCGCCAATATGTAAATTCACGTATATCTTAGAAACTTGTTAATAAAAAACTCAAAATTTTGGAGGTGTGCCTAGAAAGCATATACTTTAAGATGATGTTAAAAGTTTTATAGGCTAGAATTCAAAATTATTTTCGAAAAATTCATATATTTTTTTTAAATACAAATTTTCAAAATAAATCATAAAAAATGGGCGAAATTTATTTGGAATGAAGCTAAATTTCGAAATGTGAAAGGAAGAATAAAATAAGTTTAATAAAAATTGATACAACCAAATTCAATTAACGTTGAGGAGCTAAAACTTTGAGGGCTATTTTTTTAAAAAACTACTCCTACCATTTAAAAAAAAACTTGACAGTTTGGCATAATTTGTGTCGTAGAATCAAAATGTGGAAAAAAAATGGCATGTCATTTAAAAAAGCATCGATTTTGTGTCAAAATACCTATATTAGAACAATGCTATATATAAATCTAATACATGTCCTAAATCGCTCTTTCGAGACATAAAACATGCAAATTTCAGTCGAGCGAGTAAAACGGGAGATATAGACCTCCCCCGGTTTTGTTTTCGCAGTGTACCTGCGTTTACAGTATGGTGGGCTTAAAAGATCTACAGTGTTCCAGCCCATACGGGGATTAAAGGAAATGAAGCAGCGGATATGATTGCGAAGGGCGCAGCCAATGAACCCCACGTGAGTAGCATTGGTGTGCCCCTTCCGCACTCGTCTCTGAAAACTACTCTCAAATGTGAACTAATGAAGCAGTGTCATAACTACTGGGAGACACAAGACACAGGACAGGGCATGGCCCATATATGTCCTATCTTTACAGATTTCGCCTAAGAGAGAGTGACCAATGTATTTGTGGCAGTACTGGTGCCCAGATCACTATCTGTTTGACTGCTCGCACACGGGAAATTCACATTTGAAAAGACCAACTGCAATCAATATGCCAGCATGGTTCAAGAACACAATTAAGAATAAATATACGCTCAGCCGCATTAGAGACTGCACTACCATTGCTAAAAGCATTGCTGACAATCTGGAGTGACTTCTTTTCTTGGACACCATGCCGTCAGCAGCCTGATCTGTACATATATTGATTTACTTAATGTCTTGTGTTTTTTTGTTTGTTTGTTTGTTTTGCTGTTTTTAATTATATTTAATATTATGACTAATCCAGAACTCATTTAATGTATTCCACAATTTGTAATGTATTTGGTCATCTTTACATCTGTACCTGATTTTTATAGCACATCCTTAATATAACTGTATGCCTAACATGTACGATAATAGTGAAAGTGTTTCGCTTAGTCTTAGTAGTCCCCACCATGCACCTTCTTTCCATGTTCTGGTTTTCACTTCAATGTTCCTCGTTTCGTGGCCAATCCCCGGAGGACACAGTACTAAGCTCTTTATTTATATTTATTCATGTATTTTTAAAATTCCATGGACGGGATCCAACAGGCTGAAAAGCACCTAACCCAGTGGGCCAGCTGTTCCGTCGATGGTAAAAAGAAAAGAAAGTCATTGACCATATATGTTCGATGAGCGATAGATCTGGAGAGCAGACCAATGTAACAATGCAATATGGTGGGCTGAGAAGAAAGCTTGAATTTTGCGTGCAGTGTGTTTTCTCGTCTTAAATTGTGTCTTGTGTTATGAAATTATGT